GCTGGGGGAGAAGAAGAAGATTCATACCTTTCTCAAGGGTATTAGCACGTAAGTGAATGTAATTGATTCCACTGGAATTCGAACTTGGCTCTCTGAGCCGCTATCCATTACTCCAGTGTGACTCCGACACTGAAATTCGAAGGCGCATTGAGATAGTGAAAGATGCCTTCTAAAAAGTAAGCATACCATTAAGAAACAGGAAAATTTCATTAGAAAACGATACTGAAATGTCATGTAATGTCGGTCATTTTTTTTTTTAAGTATATATAGCGATGAAAATGTTTTTAGTTTCTGAACATGTTCATAATTGATATTATTGAGAAATGGATTCTTTCCTATATGGCAGTGAATTCTGGATAATCTCCTCACAGACGAAGAAGAAACTTGAAACAACTGAATTGTTGTTCTACAGAAGGATGCTGAGAATACCATGGAGTGAACAACGACGAAGTTTTAGAGAAAATGGAAACAAAAAGGACACTTATACTTAACATCGGGAAGAGAGAATACCAGGGATGGAACATGAAGAAGAGACTTGAAGCAACAGAAATGTGGTTCTACAGAAGGATGCTGAGAATACCATGGAACGAACATGTGAGCAACGACGAAGTTTTAGAGAAATGGATACAAAAAGAACACTTCTACTTAACATCAGTAAGAGACAGCTGTGATATCTAGAGGTCAAAAGTAAGAAAGAGTACTTGGAAAGTTTGACCATCACAGGACATATTGAATTCAAGAAAAAAAATTTAAATGCATTGTCAATCGTTATCTTCTGTCTTCTTAAGTAGTATTCGTTCATTGTTCTCTCTCCTTAATTATAATGTTTTTCTTAATCATCCCAATCAGTAACCCCTTGCGTCTTAACTTTACAAAATGTAAAAAACTTAGAACAAAATGTATTGAAAAAGAAAGTGTATCGGTATTAACAATATTTACATATAGTCTGTTTTTGTATGAATATTCCTTTGGATAAGACCGTTCCTGGAGAATGTGTTGACTGAGTGGGTTAAAAGTCGGGCAGAGTCTCTGGTTGAATCTCTTGATTTCCTCAAATTTTCCCGGTACCAACCATATTTATATGGTCGGTACTCCACTATGCAAATAAGGTGGATCCTACTTAAAACAACGGAAAAATAAAATAAAATTAAAAATAATAAAAAATTAAAAACTATATTTTGTTAGAATAATAATAAAATCAATGAATTTTTTTTTTTATTTAATTTATTATAAACTCTACTTTTTTAGAATAATAAATAAATAAATATATTTAATATAGGGGAAAAATTTTAGAAAATCGGAAAAAAAAAATTAAAACATTAAATAATTTAAATAATAAAAATAAAATAAAATAAAAAATTAAAATAATTTAAAAATAAAAATTTTAAAAGTTGAAATGTTACCAATTAAAAAATAAAAAAATGAATTTGAAATAAATAAACAAATAATAAACTGTTGAAACCAAATGCAGGAATAAAATGTTTTTTAAAAATTAAATAGAAAAAATTTTGAAACAATTAAAATTGTACAAAATAATACCAAATCTTAAAACTAAAAAAATCAGAAAAAAATTGAATAAATTTTTTTAACTTTTTATTTCCCAAAAAAAAACAAAATAATTAAATGATCGATAAAATAAAATTTTACTACGTTTAAAAAAAAACACCGATAAAAAAAAAAATAAATAAATAAATAATAAGAAAAAAAAAAAAAAAAAAAATAAATAAAACAAGCAAAATAAAATTAACCCAAATAAATAAAAAAAAAATTGAAAAACATTGGTAAAATAACCGCCAAAATAGACTACCCACAATAAAATAAATTGACCTGTATTTAATATAAAATACGTTGAGAAAAATATAAGCATTATTCCTGAAAATAAATATCTAGCATGAAAACAACTGTCGCCTCTGTATTGACTTCATGTTTTTTTAAATAGGATTCTTTCAATCTATAAATATATATATCCATAAATAAATAATATATTAATCAATCCATATAAATACATAAATAAACAAATTTGATAATTGTTTTTAGTATAAAAATAATTAAATGTTATATATGAATAATTATATAAAATTGAATAAAAATATTTAATTTTTAAAAAAAAAAAAACTATTAAATAGAAATAATAAACAAAATTTTTATTGGTTGAGAAAAAGATTTTGAAAATGAAAGGTAAATATTTATATTTAAGAATCAAAAAATCAATAAAAATTAATATAAATACAATCATAATAAATATAATATATATAAATAAATAAACAAATCATTTTCCAATTATTCAAGTAAAAATAGATTTACCCACAATTGGTGTTTTTTATATCTTTAAAACAATTAAAAATAGGTTTTTTAGACGATTTCATTTTTCATGAAAATAATTTTCACTGCTGTTTGGACTGTCATGACATATAAATAATATATAATATATCAAAATGTCTTATGAATTTTGTTGGATTTTTTCTAATAAAAATAAACAAATAAATATGTTAAATTTATGACATTACTAACTGTTGTGAAAAATCATCCAGTAAAAATCTAAATAAATTTTTGGATAGATTTTTAAAAAACGATATCCATTCTCTTTGATGGTCATAAAATAAAAGATTCTAAAAAAATTTATTGATACAAATGATGATCCTCTATATTTTAGTGGATTTCCTCATTCCAGATTTTTTAGATAATTATTTTTTGAAGAAGATTTTGAAAACTTATTTTACATTAGATAACTTAGTCTTAAACAATAACAAGGATTTAAAAAGAGGTTTTTTGACGGATTTCCTGTTTTCAAGATCCATTTTAACTGCTGTTAGACTGTCATCTGAAATAAAACTTATATGCCATTTTCTTGATGGAAAAATTATAATCAATAATAATTTATATTTATAATATAATTTGAAAATATATATATCCTACTATCTAGTTTAAATGACCCCTCATCCAGTTTTCCTATCTATATAAATTTTTTTTTTAAAAAATTCTCCGTTTTCTTGATGGTTCTTGAATGGACTTTGAAGATGAAAACCAGAGTATGAATGTTGGAACCATTTTTGAATTATTTTAATGATCTTTTCTTCAAACCAATAATTTTTCGGAAGACATTTTTTTCTGTTGAGATAAAAACGATTTTAAAAAAAATTGTTCTTTTCTAGCTGAAAAAACTCATACGGTTTTTCAGTGAATTAAAACAAATGGTACCAAGCATAAACGAACAAGTTAAAAAGAAAAAGAAAAGTAACTGAATTAAAGTTTTTTTAGATTTTAAATATTTAACTGGGATTCAACAATTATATAAAAATGAAACAATGCATATGAATCTCTTTATTGTTGAAACAATTTATGTTTTTTTAGAAGCAGATTTTTTCTAATAAGAGTTAAAATTCCATTGCTGTCTTTCTGGGTTCGAATTTTTTGATTGTTTTTTAAAAAGTCACAGAATCGCGTCGAAATTTTCCATCTATGGGTTAAATAGTTGGATAGACTACAAAGAAATGGCCGTGGTTGGAAACAATTCTAGAAGAACAATTATAAATTCAAAAGCAGTTGGGTGGTAAAAAACACTTAATCGAAAATAGGAAAAAAATATTTCTTGGGAATCCAAGCAGTAACATCTATAAAAACTTTCTGTGGACCTAAATGGTGAAGCTGTGGAACTAGAAAATGATCAATTGGCACTATAATATATCTTGGATTGATTGCAAAGGCACAAATTTGGGAGCACGGTGTGGATGAAAACAATAGAGGATATAGATGAGAAGAAGGAAAGAAAAAAAAAAAAGAAAGAAAGAAAGAAAAAAGAATTATGAAACAAAAAAATAAAAAAAAAAGAAAGAAAAAAAGAAAAAAGAAAAAGTCATTAAAAAAAGAAAAAAGATTTAAAAAACAACAATTTATAGAAATGAAAAGAAAGAAAGAAAGAAAGAAAGAAAAGAAAAAAAGAAAGAAAATAAATCTTATGAAACTTTAAACTAAAAATCCCAAAGAAAGAAAATTGAAGAAAAAAAGAAAGAAAGAAAGAAAAATGTTTTTAAATTAAAAAAAAAAAAAAAAGAATTAGAAATGAAAGATTATTTTCTTTTAAAAAAGAAATTAAAAGCATTTTTTCGAAAAAAAGAAAAAGATCAAAATATAAAGAAAAAAAACCTTGAAAGAAAAAAAAATGAAAAGAAAGAAAGAAAGGAAGAAAAAAGAAAGAAAAAGTTGAAAAAAAGAAAGCTTAAAAGAGTGAAAACATTTAAATGAAAGAAAGAAAGAAAGAAAGAAAAAAATTTGAAGCCCAAAGAAAAAAAAATAATATTTTATAGAAATGAAAAAAAGAAAGAAAGAAAGAAAGAAAGAAAAAAAAGAAAGAAGGAATTTGAAAATACTCTATTTGAAAAACAAAAGAAAAAAAGAAAGAAAGAAAAAAAAGAAAGAAAGAGTGCTTATTAAAAAAGATTGAAGAAAGAAAATTTTCTTTGAAAGAAATGAAAGAAAAAGAAAAGAAAGAAATTTAAAAGAAAGAAATGAAATGTTTAAAAAAAAAATTGTGAAAAGAATGAAAGAAAGAAAGCAAAGAAAGAAAAACAATATCTTACAAATGAAGGAAAGAAAGAAAGAAACCAAAAGAAAGAAAAGTGAAAAGAAAGAATTTCAAAACCACAAACTAGAAACAAAAAAAAGACTTGAAAAAAAAAAGAAAGAAAGAAAGAAAAGGAAAGAAGCAATTCGAAACAAAAAGTATAGAAAATGGAAAAGAAAGAAAGACTGAAAATTTTTTCTTTTGAAAAAAAAGAAATGAAGATTAATCCACAAACTATATTGGAAAAAAAAAGAGAAATGAAAAAAAAAGAAAGAAAGAAAGAAAGAAAGAAAGAAAAAAGAAAGATGGAAAAAAGAAAGAAAGAGAAATGAAAGAAGAGTTCTTTCAAAAAAGAAAAAAAAAGAAAGAAGGAAAGAAAGAAAGAAAATGAAAAAAAAAGAAATGAAAACAGAAAGAAAGGAAAGAAAAGAAAGAAAGTTTAAAGAAAGGTTAAAAGAATAAAGAAAACAAAAGGAAAAGAAAGAAAGAAAAAAGAAAGAAAGAAAGAAAGAAAGAAAAAAAAGAAGAAAATAGAAATGTAAAAGAAAGAAAGAAAGAAAGAAAGAAAGAAAGAAAGAAAAGAAAGAAAGAAAGAAAGCGGGTGAAAAGAAATTATAAAAAAGAAAAAGAAAGAAAGAAGAAAAGAAAGAAAGAAAGAAAGAAAGAAAAGAAAAAGCGAAAAAAGAAAAGTATAGAAATGAAGAAAGAAAGAAAAGAAAGAAAAGAAAGAAAGAAAGAAAGAAAGAAAGAAAACGAAACAACAAAGTAAGAAAAAGAAAGAAAGAAAGAAAGAAAAAAAGAAAGAAAAAAGAAAGAAAGAAAGGTCATTTGAAAAAACAAAAGAAGAAATGAAAAAGAAAAGAAAGAAAGAAAGAAAAAAAGAAAGAAAGAAAGAAAGAAAGAAAGTCTCTTTGAAAAAGAGAAATGAAAAGAAAGAAAGAAAGAAAGAAAAAAAGAAAGAAAGAAAAGAAAAAAGAAAAGAAAAAAAGAAAGAAAAAAAGGAAAAAAAAGAAAGAAAGAAAGAAAGAAAGAAAGAAAGAAAGAAAAAAAAAGAAGGGAAAGGAGAAAAAAATAGAAATGAATGAAAGAAAAAGAAAGAAAGAAAGAAAGAAAGAAAGAAGACAGTGAAACCGAAAAGAGAAAGAAATGAAAAGAAAAGAAAGAAAGAAAGAAAGAAAGAAAGAAAGAAAGAAAGAAGCGGGCGAAACAACAAAGTATAGAAATGTGAAGAAAGAAAGAAAGAAAGAAAGAAAGAAAGAAAGAAAGAAAGAAAAAAGAAAGAAAGAAGCGGGTGAAACCACAAACTATAGAAATGAAAAGAAAGAAAGAAAGAAAGAAAGAAAGAAAGAAAGAAACAACAAAGTATAGAAATGTGAAGAAAGAAAGAAAGAAAGAAAGAAAGAAAGAAAAGAAAAAATTATTTGAAAGAAATAAATAAAAAAAGAAAGAAAGATGAAATGACAAAATATAGATGAAAAGATATTTGGGAAAGAAAGAAAATTTTTTGATGAAACAACAAATAAAAGATGAAAAATGATGAAAGACTTAAAAAGAAAGATAGAAAGAAAAGAAAAGAAAGAAGAAAAATGAAACAACAAAGCATAGAAAAAAGAAAAGAAGAAGAAAAGAAAAAGAAAGAAAAGAAGCTGATGATATGACAAAAATATAGATGAAAAGAAAGAAGGAAAGTTTATTTGCCATAATATATTTAATTTTGTTTACATCACCGAACTGAAGCCAATTCTGGTTCAGTCTTAAACGTAAATTTAATGCGATAAATACTGGAATTGTACTTAAATGCTGAAGAATATCATCTTTTCATTAAGAAGCAAAAATAGAACTTTACCCCTCTTTTATTTTAAAAATATCAGATAATAAGTAAATTTCTATTCATATGTAAAGACCGTTTGTCTCAACAGAGAAATATATCAAAACGATGAACAAATAAAAGAAAAAAAATTGTGGGGAATAGTGTAATGGAAGAAATGGACGCGATAAAAGCAAGAAAGGACAAAAACAAATGTAAAGAAGATGGCGGCAATTGCAGCTGGGCCGGAAACGAAATCTAACGAAATCAATAAACGTCAAGGAAAGAGGCAAGGATCGAAGGGGGAAAAAAGGAACAAAAATGTTAGATAAAATGGAGAATCATTTGGAAAAATAAAGCTGAACAAGTAAACAAGAAAGCAGAAGGAATTATATTTTTGCGCATGCGTTTGGCTAGAGTTAACAATAGTCACCATTTTCTGTCTTTTTGGGGAAAAAAAATTATGGATTCTTTTATGATTTTCATTGTTGAAGAACGGTTTCTTACATTTTTGTTTCTTTTTTTGTCACATTACATTTATCCTCGTCATTCTTTTCTTTTTTTTTTTTTTTCGAAACATCATCATTATCATTTATCCTCTTTTTTTCCTTTTTCCCAATCTTTTTAATTCTTCTGATTTAGGGACATACCTTTTAATGATTTATATTTCTTTTGTTCGAACACAAGAAAAAAAAAAACTAAAAAAAATCTTCTTTCTTTTTTTCTTTTCTTTTCTTTTTTTTGTTTCTTTTCTTTTCTTATTTCTGATTTTATATTCTTTCTTTTTTTTGATTTATATTCTTTGTTGTTTCTATCCGATTATAGCTTTCTTTCTTTGTCTCTTTTCTTTCATCCGTATTAGTTTCTTTCGTTTATTTTGTTTTATTGTTTTTTTGTTTTTATTCATTTTTTCTTTCTTTTCTCCTCTGTATTATTTGTTCTTTTTATTTTTTTTTTGTTCTGTCTATTTGTTTCATTTTTTTTTTTTCTTTCTTGAGGTTTTTTTTTTTTTTTTTTTTCTTTTTAAAAATCTTTCTTTCTTTCTGTATTATTTTTCTTATTTTTTCTTTTCGTTATTTTTTTTTTTCTTCATTTTTTTTTTTTTTTTTTTTTTTTTCTTTCTTTCTTTCTTTTCTTTCTTTTCCGTATTAGTTGTTCTTTTTTTATCCGTGTTTATCTTTTAAGTTTTTTGTTTGTTTGTTTGTTTGTTTTTTGTTTGTTTTTTTTGTTTCTTTTTTCTTTCTTTTTCTGTCGATTTGTTTTTTCTTTTTTTTCTTTCTTTTGTTTTTTTTTTCAGTTTTGGGAAAAATTTTTTCTTCTGTATTATTTGTTCTTTTCTTTTTTTTTTCTTTGTTTCTGTCTATTTGTGAAATTTTTTCCTTCATTTTACCTTTTCCTTCATTTTTGTTTGTTTCTTTCCTTTTTTTATTTTTCTTTTCTTTCTTTTTTCTTTCTTTCTTTCTTTCTGTCTTCTCCTCCGTATTAGTTGTTCTTTTTATCCGTGTTTATCTTAAGTTTGTTTGTTTGTTTGTTTGTTTGTTTGTATGTTTCTTTCTTTCTTTCTTTCTTTCTTTCTTTCTTTCTGTCGATTTGTTTCATTTTTCCCTTCATTGTTACCTTTTCCTTCAGAGGTTTTACTTCTTTCTTTCTTTCTTTCTTTCTTTCTTTCTTTCTTGGGCTCTATATTCTTCCCAACTTTCTAAATTCCCCCCCACCCCCGCCGCATCGCCCTTTTGGCATACTCCCCACCCAACTTTCACTCGACTTCCATTCCCAATTCTTCCTCCTGTAATAAATGAAGATTACATATTAGACGTCACATTATTACTCGTGTCTCTTATCGCCGTCGTCGTTGTCGTTGTTGTTATTACGGTACTTTTCATTTTAGCCTCTTTTCCTTCTGTTGTTGTGGTTGTTGTTGCTAACATTTTATTTTCCTTAAAATATTTAAAGTGTCTGCCGCCAACAGGAAGACTGAGAGGGCGGTGTTCGGAAGATAAAAAAAAAACACCAGAACAAAATGGAAGGCGAAAGACAAGACAACGAACGAGACACACACACACACACACACACACACACACACACACACAGATAGATAGAGAGAGAGAGAGAGAGGGAGAGAGAGAGAGAGCGAGTAAGTGAACGGGGAGAAAACAAAAAGAGAAAAAAGAAAAGGTTTGTGTTATTTTTATTGTCTTTTTGTTACTCCACGGCGTGCATAAAGGCTAAGAAGGAAAGGACCCAATATGAAAGTCTTTTTAATTTCCATAATACATCCACTTCATATATAAATAATAATATATATATATATATATATATATATATATATATATATATATATATATATATATGAAAGTAAGACAGAACGTATTAGTCATGTGCTGTGATGTTAAAAAAAAAAGTCGTGGCAGAATATGTCATTGTCAGTAATTTGAGATTATCAGGATAAAACAAGTTTGAGGGGGTGGAAGTGGGAGCGACCATCAGCCATCGGCCATGATGAGTTTCTAATCATGTGGGTTAAGGGGCAGAAAGGCATAATGAGATAAAAACATCATCGAATTGCTTTTACTTTTGCATCTCGCCTGATTTTTTTTTTTTAATTAAGAACTTCTTTTTGTCCTTTTTTTTCTTCTTTTTCGCTTTGCGTTGTCTTCTTTTTATTCAGCGCTTGTTCCCTCCACCAATCTCTTTTTCATTTAGCTGATTGTTTCTTTCGTTTTCTTAAAAGTACCTATCTCCTACCTTTTGATTGATTGATTCTTTCTTTCTTTCTTTCTTTCTTTCTTTCTTTCTTTCTTTCTCGGTTAGTTTGTTTCTTAATTTATCTATCTATCTATTGCAATTTCTCATAATTTTTCATTTTTCTTTCTTAATTCTGTCTTTCTTTCTTGATCTATCTATCTATCTATCTATCTATCTATCTATCTATCTTGATTTGTTTCTTTTTTCTTTCTTTCTTTCGTTATCTATCTATCTATCTATCTATTGCACTTTATTCATATTTTTACATTTTTTCTTTCTTTCTGCCTTTCTTTTTTATTTCTTTTATTTTTTCTTAATCTGTCTATGTAAACGTCTCCACATCTATCTATCTATCTATCTATCTATCACATTGTTATCTATCTATCTCCTTCTTTGTTCCTTTTTCATTGTTTTTCTTTTTCTTTTTCTATCTAATTTTATTTCTCATTCTATATTCATTATCTCATCTATCTATCTATCTATTCATTCATCTATCTATCTATCTATCTATCTATCTAATTCTATTCCTCTCATTCTATTAATGTCTATCTAATTCTATTTCTCTCATTCTCTTCATATTATCTATCTATCTATCTATCTATCTATCTATCTATTAATTTAATGGTATTCTCTCATTCTATTAACTTCTATCTAATTTTAATTCTCTCATTCTATTCATTATCTATTATCTATCTATCTATCTATCTATCTATCTATATATATATATATATATATATATATATCAAAATGTGAAATTTCTATCGCTTTCTCTCTCTGTCTCTGTCTCTCTCTCTGTTCATAGTTTTCATTATTTCTTATCTTTTTTCTTTCTCAACGTTTACTCACCTTTTCTATTTCACTTGTAAATCTCCCTTTTATATTTACGT